TAAACCTGTCGAGCATACATAAATGTTTAAATTAATTGTAGTCTTCATAACAACTACTCGGTGAATTTTCTTATTAGACTTTATCAATCAACCTCGCTCACGAGTTGTGTGAATGTGGTTCGTACCTGATGAATTTGTTTTCTTTCAGTTCTACCATACGTGCAGCTCCTATCCTGGCTAATCGAGATGCCCGTTGTTCTCGAAACCTGATAACCTTTGCCGATTTGAAAACATTGCGTGCAGCCATGCCTCGGACCATCACACCACTCCCGGAACCCGGTGCCGTGGCTCCGTCTGCTCCGATACCTCGACCAAGACGGCGAATGCGCACTTGTCCAATCACTGGATTGCCGGCGCGCTATCTGGATCCCGTCACCCTGACACCCTACGCAAATCTGGCTGCGTTTCGTGTTCTGCGTCGACTTTATGCAATCCATCTGGAAACGAACGCCGCCCCTATTGATCTGCTGCGAGAGTATCGAAGTGGTAACATTTCTGTGGACCCTGCCTGTTAATTTGACTACATAATCTAACTGTACATACTTAATCGTCTTTCGTATTCATCCATCTTTCCCACCTACACGGTAAATGCAATAGAATCCTGAACCACTCCGAGCATGTTCGCTTATTCTAACAATCACTTTTCTACAGTCCCACAAAACAATAGTTCGACTGTTTGGTACTATCACACTCCAACTAGCGTGAAATCTTTTGATGGTTGTTTCATCGGAAACAATTTCGTGTTTGTCAGTCGACTGCCTTGAAGTGGGTCCACGTTCTTCAATCTTCCGTGCTTCGATCTTATTTATGGGTAACCCTCGTTCACACAAAGTAGCTATCTCAGTAGCCACACCACCCTCATGCCAACATGACTTTCTTCAATACATTTTTATCTGCACGTGATGCGTCCAGCGGTATCCAAAATCTATAGCCCGAAACTTAGTGTCAAATTTTTATCAATCCAGACATTCTCGTTGCAGTTAAGATAGCATGTAGTGAAGCGGATTGCTGGTTATACATTGCATTTTCCTTCATTTGTGTATGAACGAGGTTAGTACAATTACCTCGTTTTTGTAAAGTTTACCTCTGGATTTAGTTATATAAACTAGTGGTTCGACAATTAAAAACTAATTATGACATGGAATTCATGCAACCAAGCGCTGAAGACAAAGCGTGGGTAGGCCGATGGGCATGAATCGCTAATGGTGCTACTCAATAAGGATGAAGTAACTAGACCGTGTTTTCAATGCAGTTCCATCGTGTATGTTGAAAATCTCCTTCCTCATCATTTTAGTCGTTTATCGATTGAGCTCGAGTACTCACTAGACAGAAACCCATTGATATGAGGAAAATTTATGTTAGTCAAACAAGATGAGATATGCGAATGAAAAGCACGTCGGGGAGAAAAGGTGAATCTAGGGTCTTCTTGTCTCGGTTGAGCACCGCCAACTTCCCGTCAGGTTGTTTGCGCATCGGTCGCTTCCCCCGGTTCGGATTGTTCGCGTGCACGATCTTCCTGCTTCCTGCGCATCAGTCGCAATTGGTCACCAATCAGCTGCGATTCCTGATTCGCCCGTTCAATCTCACCGGTGTGAGTGGCTCGTTCCCACCGATATTCTGTCAACGGGAAAATATGTAGCCGAGTTCGAGTTTGCAACCGACTAATTTGTGTTTTGCTATCTTAAACATGAACTGTGCGGTATCAGTCAGCACTGTGTGGAAACGGAATTTCGCTTCCGTTCCCTCAACATGTCATAACAAATCAAAGCTTCACAGTACTAAATAGAAATACAAAAATGCAGTTGAACGAAGTTTAAAAAAGAAATCGCGTATATGCGCGACCGCCATTGTTTTACAAAACTGGACCATGTCTCTTGGGGTGGTGATGTCGCACTGGTTTAGTCGCTGTCACCGGCCAGCTTTGGACCCCGT